GCAGCTGTACATATGAACACAGCAATCATGACAGCATAACCCAAGTCCAATGCAAAGTCAAGACAGACCGAATCCCAGCGTGGAGAGAAGTGGATGTGAAGTCCCCCTGCACCCCAATCGAGGACCTGTTTGTAATTGACAGCTTCAGAGAGAGGGAGAATCCATTTGCTTTAAGAGCGTTGCTCCTGGTAAATCAATCATACTCCAGGGGAAGGTCACACATCCATGAACACAAGGGCAGCACAAACTAAGCTCAATTGGTGAGGGGAAAAAAAAGGACATAAAGTGGAGTGTCTAGGGAAGGGAAGTAGGTGAATCTCAGAGCAGTTGTGGGTGAATGTGATAAAAAGCATATTGTACACAATTTTGAAAAAAAAATGAGTAATCATAATAGTAATTTTACCCTTGACCTCTTCTTGCCTCTCTTGGTTACCATAAGGTGAGCAGTCCTTGCCTGCCACACGCTTCTGCCATTAGGAACTATGCAGCAACACGGCCAAAGCAACCATAGGACGAAGTCTCTGTAAATGTAAGCCAAACTCATCCTTCCCTCCCAATAAGCTAACTCTCTCTTGGCGTTTTCCCCCAGCGACTGAAAGCTCACGAACCCCATTGTCATATCTTTGAATTATAAGATTAAAGGTAATTTTTCTCTTTTAAGTTTTATTAGTGAATAACTGGTATATTAAAATGCACAAATTTGATGAGCATAGGGATTTTATTTTTCTTTATGCTAAAAATTAATACAAAATGAATGACTTACAGGGGCTTGTATCTTAATTTGCTTCTCCTATAAAATTAACACTTTCCCTCTTATGCCCAGGATATTTGTAGGAAACACGGTGTCTTGGGATCAGTCATTTGGCCATATTTAGATGAACAATCAGCCTTGTTGGTGCCACCTTTTGCTAGTTGATTGTCATGGAAGGTGAGACAAAAAACCCAAAGCAAAGGTCAGCAGTGGCCTACTGAACTGCAGGGCAGGCCAAAAAGTCCATTGAAAGCATCTTCTATGCAAACATGAGTGAAATGCAAAATACCTGGGAGAGAGCAGGACTGGACATCTAGCTCTCTGAGACAGACACTGGTGTTTCCTCTGCTGCATCCTAACAGAGCCATTAGCTTTGGGGGTTTTCGTTGTTGTGTTTGAATTTTTTGAATTTTGAAGGTTCTTTTCTGCCGGTTAATTCCCCAATCTGTATCACTGTTCATTGGGATTGGCCTCTGTGAACCAAGACAGTCAACCTCCTATGCTCTCATGTCAAATAAATACCAGCCTGCTTCTCCCTTTGGGCTCCACAGGGCACAGCCATGTGCCCAATAGGGTAGAAAGAGAGGAAGTCTCCCATGCACAGGAAGCTACAGGAGGCCCTGAGATGTTCGTGGGCCAGAAACTGGAGAATTCTGATGAAGAAATGTTAGTCTTCTGGCACAAACCATCAAAGTCTTGAAAGGTTTTATTTTTTCTTGAATAATATGACCTTTAAATTGTGTTCATGTCAAAACAGAAAATAGGAGAGGTGAACTGACATGGGAAAGAAGGTAGAGTGATCCTGGTAAATACCAGACCCACCAATTGACAACAAACACTTACTGTGCACCTGTGACCGGGCCGCTGTTCCTGCAGAGTACCTACAAAGAACTGTGTAAGCTACAGTCATCCTGGTGCTTGACAGCTTGAAACAGGAGGAGGATGAGGTCAAAGGCAGGTTGGACTACATAGTGAGACCCTATCACAAAAGAAAACTTAAAAGAAAGCCTGGGAATGTAACTTATTGGTAGACACTTGCCTGAAATGTATCTCAATCCCCTAATTTTGATCCACAGCACGTGCACGCATACACAGGGTTAAATATTAATAAGTTAGGAATATGATAATAAGATAGCTAGCTGCTAAAAAAAGCAGTGACATCTGGAACTTGGGAGAAAGATTGAACTCAAAGCAAAGTGTAAGGAGAAGTGGGGAATGTGGAATAGGCATCTTATAGTCAGATTCTATGTGCAATGGAGAGGAGGCAGGAGGGAGCTTTGTGGTTCAGTTAGGGAGTTGGGAATAGTCCAGAGAGGAGGAGGAGGCTGCACCATCAGACCAAACCAACACATCCCCGGACCTTTGAAACCCTCTGCTGGAAGCAAGTTGATCTTGGGCTTTGCTATGCCTTCAGCTTTGTGCCTTAGGACCCAACCAGCCGTGGTTCAGGCTTCTGTGCCCCCTTCTCTACCCGAGATTCATAGTGTCTGCCTTATCCAGGCTCTTGGTGTCTCCTCATTTCCCATCACATACACTTCTCACCATGGACATGTGACGGTTTCCAGGGAGCATAAACTCGATGTTTAGTCCTCTTTTTTTTTCTTGAGAATTTTTTTCATTCATTTTACATATCAACCACAGATCCCCCTCTCATCCTTCCTCCTGCTCCCCATTAGTCTTCCTCCCAACCTCCCCCCCTAGCCCTCCCCCTACCCCTTCCTCCGAAAAAGTAAGGCCTCCCATGGGGAGTCAGCAAAGCCTGGTACATCCAGTTGAGGCAGGTCCAAGCCCCTCCCGCTGCATCAACTCTCATCTGCATTTTTATAGTAGAGGTTGGTAAATCTCTGTAACCCACCAAAAGCCCTTGAGAAATAAATACTGAAATGAACCAAAATTCTGGAACACTTGGTACCAGAGTCCACCATGATGGTGGTAGGGAGGCAAAGTAATTACTCCTCAGACTTCAAGAGCTCCTTGCCAGGATGGGCCTCTATAACAAAAGATAGCTAGAAAGGAGGAAAAAAAAAAGAGCTCATTTCTTAAGATGTAAGTCACTTCACACGAGGGAAGCCCCAGTGAAAAGTAACTCAGATTTAAAACCCACCTGAGGCTGAGCAAGGTATCCCTCCTTAGACAATGGGCTCCAAAAAGTCAGTCCATACACTAGGGATAAATCCTGGTCCCACTGCCAGTGGCCCCACAAACTGCCCAAGCCACACAATTGTCACCCACATTCAGAGAGCCTAGTTCTGGGCTTGGTCTTGCCTCAACTTGATACGCCAGGTTTTGTTGACTCCCCATGGGAGACCTTACCTTCTCTGAAGAGCGGATAAGGGGTGCGGTGGGGGGAAGGTGATGAGTGAGCAGGAGGAGAGGAGGGAGGGGGAACTGTGGTTGGTATGTAAAATGGAAAAAAACCTTTTAGTTAAAAAAAAGAAAAACACTTGATGCAGCATCTCTAACTACAGTTCCTCTGTGGGAAAATGAGGAATGAAGGACCACGGTGTCAGGACCTCAGAGGTGGAGCACTACAAGCAAGGTAGAGAGATGGCCACACTCCAGCAGAACAGCAGGAGCTTGAGGGCGTCCCCGTGCCTCCTGTGGGCAGGGTGAGTTCTCTATGAAGGGAGAGTATATGTCCTGTCTCTAGGTGAAGAGAGGGAGGATAAGAAAACTCTCTCTCTGGTTTCTGCTTCTTAATTGCTCCTAATAGTTGATGACCAGTTCTGTTTCCTACAATAAGAAAAGCCCATGGGATAACTAACACAAGCAGAATCCCTTCCATGGTCTTACATGACGAGGTTTCCCATCACCCTCAAAGTAATCCCAATAGGCAGAGAAACGGAAAGAATACAGAAGACGCTGACATCACGAGCACATGACAATACTCAGGACTCTTCTGACGTACAACTGCCTCACCACTACCCTATAAGGCAGAGAGTATGGCCCTCTGCTCTCCCCAGAGGAGAACTCAGTAGGGAGCGACAGGAAAGGAACAGCACCTGGTGGGCATGGATTGGTACCTCCTCTCCCAGGGGTGTTTGTCTCAGAGTTTCGGAAGTTGAAGACTTGTACCCTTTGATGCAGCGAACTGTTTCCAGATACCTGTTCTTAAGGGTTTGCCTCCACTTGGGCAGATTGCTCTAAGTACCAGTGTTATTTGTAGTAGCAGAAAACTGAAATGACCTAAATGTCTGCCAATGGAGGCTGGATCTAAGTAAGCTGCCAAGGTCCATGCTCTCATACAAAGGAAAACAGACAGGCATAACAAGTAGATAGCAGCCCCATACTGACAGGTGAGGTTGAAGTCAGAACATCAGGGTAGATGCTACACTTGTGGTTGGGTGGGTAAAGAGAGCACATAAACCATCTGTAGACACACTGTCTATCTCTGGAAGGATGTATAGATTGCTGTAGTTGCTAGAAGGCTGTAGACGTGAGGAGTCAGAGGAGATGGACGTTTTGGTGACTATCATATGTATTTTTTAATGTTATGCTATTAACACTTGTATCCTATATTATAATTTTTTGAGAAAAGTAAAATAAAAGTAAGGACTTTTAAGTCAGGCATTGGTGGTGTACACCTTTAATCCCAGCACTCAGGAGGCAGAGGCAGGCAGATCTCTGTGAGTTCAAGGCTAGCCTGGTCTATTGAGCAAGTTCCAGGACAGGCTCCAAAGCTACACAGAGAAACTTTGTCTCAAAAAAAATGTAAGGAGTTTTAATGTTTTTAGCATATATTAAGTATGCATAAAACTGGTTTCATGATTTTTCATACTTGTATTTATTATATTTTGATCATATTCACCCCTTATTGCTCTATCTTGTCCTCTCTCCACTATCATTGATCTCAAGAATTTTTATGAACAAATAAAACAAAGACCTACTGTTGTGTGGCGAACATGGGGGTGGAGATGGGTGCTGAGCTTCTGGGTGGAGCCCCCATGTCCATCACACTCTCTTGGCTCACTCACCTGATTTTACAGGAGAAGAGACACCCATTGTCACAGAACCAGTAAGTGGACAAGCTAGGGCTGGAAAGCAAAGTGCCCAAATCTAGTCACAATGGTTGTTTCTCTTGTGTTGAGGAGATGGGTTAAGATAGGGTGTTATTCTGGAGCCCAGGCTGCCCTCAGACTCACAATCTTCCTGTCCCTCAAGTGCTGGGATTGCAGGCATGTACCATCCTGTTATTTCATTCCTCAAACATCAACTCTTAGGCACACTAGAAAGGAAAAGGCATGAGAAATTGAAATGGAATTTCTTATTGAGAAGGAAAAGAAGGGACAAGAAACACAGGAAGATTTAAGTATGAGTCACCATTCTCTCTGCTCTCCTAATCTTGGCACCCACCCCATAATGAAGGTATGTCACAAGTATCAGTGAATGTCACTGTAACTAGCCTATGATGGTTGCTGCCATCCATTCATTCAGCAAGCACTTACTGGTGATTCACCTGGGAGAGGGAGCAGGAAGCGTTTTAAGATTCACAATATAATAGGAGAGACTATATCTTGAATGCTGCATATATGTCATTCTATGCCCCACAAGAGGAGCTGGAAACACAAATAAATCTTCAATAAAAATGCCTGAAATTAATAAGTCTATGTGTGTGCCACTCCTAGCCACAGTGGGAGCTGTCTCCTGCTTCCACAGCTCTTCCTCACCTCTAGCCTCTCTGATCCCTCCCTCCCCAGCAGCCCTTCAGTGCATCCTCAAGCCTGTTGGCACAACTTCTCATTCAAGGATACAGAGGCAAGAAGACAACCTGAGCTTAACACACGATAGCAAAACCTCAAAAGCATGTGTTCCCAAGCCATAGTGTTTCAGCGAAGAGATGTGATTCCCTCTCTCCATTCTCATTTTATTTATAAGTGTTTTGCTTCGAAGTGGCTGAACTGCCAAGCTCCATGTCACAGCCTGCAGCACAGCAAACTGGCTTTTTCTGAAGCTCATAATGTGATAATTAAACTGCTAACAGGCACCTTAGTGATGGCATTTGCTGAAGATGTGAAAGCCCTCTCACAATGGCACCTTACTGTAGGGGAATCATCAGTGGAGGTAAAAGGATAGGCTCACGGTTTATTTTTTTAGATATTTTCTTCCATGAGTACATTAAATTTTTATGTGGAGTGAAATGGGACAGGACTTGTTTCCCTTCCACTGCACAATGATTTATTACCCAAAAAAGACCGCAGAACTAATTAGCAGAGTAATTAATTAATATAAATTTGCATATTTGCATTTGCAATTAGTGCAGCCGACTGATTAGTCTGAAAATGAGAAGTTTGACTCATTAGATGTTAGTGTCTGCTGGACCAGAAAGCGGCTGCCAGATGAGGCGGAAAAGGGTGGAATAAGCATGTGTGTTTCTTTTGTTAGAAGAATGGAGAATATGCTCCAATATCTGGGGCCAGACATCAGAGTTTGCAATTTAAAAAAAAATAATAAATTATTTGCTTCCATTTCTGCTACTCAATGTTCCTTGCCCTTTTGCCTACAGCAAGCCATTCCTGCCAAGCTTGGAAACCACTCGACCCCTGAGAAGGGCTCTTCCTGGTCCCTCAAAGCGGAAGGGTCTCTGTTGTTTGTGGGTGAGCAGAAAGTCTGTCCCATTTTGATGTCCCTGGAATTTGACTCTTGCACTCAATTCAGTGATTCTGTCAAAACAGTTCTCCAGTGTTGATGAGGACCCTCAGGGGACTTGGAGAGAAGACTACCGTCCCTTCCGGGCTTCTTCTGACTGCTGCCTCTTTGTTCCTCCAGCTGATGACTGACTCAAATCTCTCACCTCCAGTAGACTGACTAAATCCATGTCTGCAGAATGACACAGGGTGAAAAATCCATAAATATAACACACTGACAGCCAGACACACAGACATCAAGTAATAGCCATTAAGCAACCATAGAAAGAGAACGGATTTGCTCCAAAATGTTCAGGGAGGCTGGGAAACAATGGGAAGTAGCATCTTGATTTAACTTTACTGAATCTATTCAGGCTGAGGATTCATGTAGAGGGGATACTGGTCTGCTATGAATGCCTTTTCTTGTTTTTGGTAGTAATGGGCATTTTAAAATTTAAATTCTTATTAAAATGTAATTTCACTTTACATTTTCCCCAAATTGGAATTAAACACGTATGCATTCCTTGATGGTTGCATTTCTTTAATATATGTAAAAAGAAACTGTATCACATTGGTTCAGTGATATAGATAATATGTAAATGAAAAAATACCTGGTATTTGTTAATCTATAAAATCACTTTTAATAACATTCAGTTAGCTATGTCGTACACCAACTCTTACCCTTAGGATTTAGAGAGATTTTAAATAGAAGATACACATGAGCTGTTCTTAGACTATATTTTTCAAGCTTAGATAATATCAAATGTCATTCACCAGCTCCCCTGTACCCCAAGCCAGGGGTTCTGCATTGTACATTCTAGAAGGTATCAATTCCAGATTAGTGAGCTATATTTTAAGTGTGTCTCAAATGGTCGTGTCTGGGAAGCCTCAAAGGTGACCAGGCCTTTAAGAGACTAGAGCACAATGGGTGCTCCTTAGATTACAGCGGGGAGTTGCCCTTGGAAGGATAAGGGTGGCTCTCGTGGGTCCCCTGTGCTCTTGCGGGAACCAGTTCTTCTGAGTGAGCCCTGCATCTCCATCGGTCTCTGGCTTTCAGTTTTGTGAAGTGACTATTCCTCTCACATCTATTTTATCATTGGGAGGCAGCCATGGGGAGAGAGGAACCTCTCTAGAGTCAAAGTCTATCCTTTATAAAGTCAGCCTGCCTCGTGTATTTCATCTTAGTAATGTAGAACTGTCCAATTCACATGCCTACCTGTCCTCCAAACCTTACCCTCTCGACTCAGACCATCGAAGGAGTCAAGGGTATGATCATTTCTTTAGACCTTCACCTCATTTCTTAGACTGAGAACTTCTTCTTAAGACAGCTAAACTCTATTTACATCTTTATATCCCCAAACCTAGCATACCATCTAGTACACAGTAGAAAATAAATAATCCTTGTGAAATTAATGCATGGAAGAATAATTGAAGAGATTTATATAGACATAACTTTATCTAGAGATCTCTCTACAAGAAAAGGAAAAACAGCTCTCATGAGATGTAAGGAAATGTCACTCAAAATGCCAATGAACAAAATGGAAGTTTAAATGACCCTGCATGAGATGTCCTCAGCTTGAACTCTTCCTTGGAATCTTCATCCTGTTTGTCTTAGGCTTTTACCCCTTTGGATGCTTTGCTTTTAAAAGGGTCCTTGTGTTTAATAGGTTTTCAATAGCTACCAACATAGTAATTCCTTGTCAGTTTACAAAAACCAACTACTTATTCTACATCCACAAGTTAGCAGGAAGATCCAGACAAATAATCATGACTCAACCATGACTTAGAGTTGTCCTTTAGTAGTTCAGTAAGAATTGGAACTGGTAAGTAGAATTAGGAACAACTGTGAACAATGGGAAAATGTAGAGGCAAGGTTTAACATGGCATTGGAAGTCCCTCAGAGGAAAGGTCTTCATATTTTTATTGGTTATTAAATAACAAATTTTTTGTTTATCTGTTTCTTACACCACCTCCCCCATAGATCAAATATTCTTCTGAGCCCACAACTGACACTAGCCATTCCTGTATTGCAGGTGGCATTTGGTCAAGGTGAGCTCTTTCTTGATGAGGCCACCTGAAACCATGATTACATGTGACATCAGTAGTTGCTGTGGATATTCAAGTCTCCATTGTTTTCTGAAAGTATTTAGAAAGAATACCATGTAATAAGCCTCTTTTTTCACCCTCCAATTTTTGCACATGAAACTGCATTGGTAGTCACTCAGGCATTATATATCTACTGGTCTGTCTGTTTGTTTTAAATTTATTCTCCACTTACCTCCAAGAATATTTGAGGTAGCAATTGAGTTGAACGTTTTTATACGCATTGTAAAGCAATTCACCATCTAAAAAGATTCCTTGTTTCTTAACTGTGCCATAATACACATGACAAAATATATTTTTATATTTGTTTCCTATAAACTGCATGCTTTATCTGGAACTGTAGCGCAGATATATTGAGAGGAAACCAGCCACGGTAATGGGTGGCAGTACCTTCTGTCTTCATCACCAGAATAGAGGAAAATAAAGTCATATTTCCGAAAATGTACCACAAGAATAGCTATAATTGTCCATTCCATATTTGCTTGTTGAAAAAAGGAAGACTGATTTTTATATTTGTCTGAAAACACAAATTAGGATTTGCTTACTCCTCTGCTCAACCATTGCCAAGTGAGACGTGAGGAAGTAAAGACTCCCCGCCCCCCGCCACAGTACTAGCATGGGGCTTCTTTTGTTTGAGGGCTTGGCTGTTACTTCTACTTCAGTCAAGCACTGACCAGAAATAGAAGAGGTTTAATGGGGGAGATTGCTCTGTCTATTTAAGAAGTTGGAAACCCAATGGGACACATAGCTCTGTTAACAGAACAAACTTTTTTGTGGCCTGGTAACTTAAACACTGATTTTTTTTTTTAAAGCATCATTCCAGATCATTGGTCCATTAGGTGAATTATACACTTTGGCTATTTCAGTAAAACACTCTCCAGCCTTTTAGCATCATTTGAAAAGGGAGGCAGGGATGCCCTTGTATGGCTGGAGACTTGAGGACCTGCCTGGCCTCTGTGGTTTCTGCTTCCCTGGAACACTTACTGACAGCTAATCCTTCTGACCACAGACCTTTCTCATTTCAACTACTGTTGTGTGAATTCATCCCCTCTCTATCTTTCACAAACTATAAGGTTTAATAGCGATTAACACTAGACCACAGCACTTTCAAATTAACGATAGCCCTGCCAGTTCTAATTGGTATTCTAATTAGCCTAACCGATTCAACTAATTAAGAACATTAAACTTTTTAACAAAGGCTATCTTGCTTTGTGTGTTGTAAAATGGAATTTAAAGGAGGGGGGTAGAAAGGGATAAAGAGGATGGGGGAGGAGTGAGAACCAGCTTGGATTTCCAGGACATGCTCAGGAGAGGTGGTTGAGAGCCAATGGGAGGCTTCCTCCTTCTGGAAGTGGGGGTAGGGGGTGGCCAGAGCCTGAACTTTGCTGGGTGAAGGGTCCCTGCAGCCTTTACTTTCCAGCAGGGCAAAATCAAGTTAATGTAGTGACACTATCCTTGGTCTCTGTGCCTGCTGGGACTTCTTAGAATTGGCCTTAGGGACAAACCTAGGCTATTGGTTCACCATAAAGAGAAACTGTGAACCATGCAGCTTTATACAAAGTATGACCTTTGTCATAATGACAAGGATTGAGGCTGACTAACTCTGCAATTTCAAAATGTGTCCAACTGAAGATGCTCTACAAGAGGCAGGCCAACTTTATGAGAACTCTGTGCTTTACAAACTTGCCAATAAACCACGCAATAGAGAGTCTCGTTGGGTTTACAGTGAGCCCGTAAATACAATGGCTTCCATGGCCCCTTTTCTTTCCTTTCCTCTTTCCTTCAGTACTTGCTCTATCTCTTGAGTTTATGGTCTCTTCAAAACATATCTCAATTTTGGCCCTTTCTCCTACTTTCTGGTGGAATTTCTTCAGTTCTAGCCCCCAGAGTCAAAATGTCAGGAGGCACTAATGCCCCGTGCTGCACATAGGAGACTCTGGACGTGAGCACCATGTCATCAAGAGGACAAGGAAGGCTGACAGTTAACTGTCACCTTGAAGCTGTTCACAAGATGCTCAAGTGAGAGCTTCCTCCTTCCCCTTTTTTCCATAGGGAAGGGGTCTCTGTACCCTGGAGGGCACAGGATCACAGAGAGGAATCTAAGTTCTCCACAGTTCTCCACCTCCTACCTTCACTCTCTGCCCCTTCTTGCTGCCCACTCTTCAATGAACCTACTGTAAAAATAGGTAGGTTGGGCTTTCTTTGGGTCTTCATTTCTGAAGGCCCCCACACTGCATTAGACATAAACACATCTATATGCTTTGCCCTTGTTCGTCTATGTTCTCTGCTTTGGCTAATCTGTATTCCTTTTGGTTTTGTCTCAAGAGTAATATACTGGCAAATGGTGAGACAAGTCTTTCTCCTCTTTATATCCCAAGGACCTTGCATAACCTGTGATGAAAGCCTCCTTCAACTAGGACCTCAGGGGCTTCACTTGCCCCCCCGCCCCCGACAGTGATCTTGCCTCCATTATGATCATCCAGAAGAGCTCATGACTGTTCTATTTACTTGGGTCTCCTCAAAACCTGTTATCCACACAGTAGTGGAAACAGAACACCTGCTCACATCCTCCAGTTGCTGCCCCTGAAGATCGGGAGATTTGAAATCCTCAGCATTGCTGAGCACGGTCTACAAAATCTGCAGCTTCCTGCCTCCCACAGTCCTTCCAGCTTTCTTCTCTTAATTACTATGCTCCAAACATAGAGCTTCCAGAGTGAACCAAGGAGGGATAGGGTGTCTCCCCCAGATACAAGACCAAAATAGATTCATTTCTTATAGAGAACCTAATAATCTTAAAGAAACTGACAGAGTTTTCAATCAACATTCGCTAACAATACTAAACTGCGGTAGTGATTAAAATATTCCTGGTACCAAATAATATTATATTGGTGGTGATGGTGTGGAGTATATTCTCTTTCATCCCTCTTTTCTGCCATACAATTCCTGAAACCCTTGGAGTCTCCAAAGCAGCTGGGTACTGGCAACAGGAAAGGCCAAGGCAATACTAGGTCTGGACTCTCAGGATTGCTTCCAACTACTAGGAAGGCAGAGGAACATAGAGTTGAGTTGCTCACTAATGTCCGATGGCATAAGCAATCATTCCTGTGTAATGAAGTTTTCGTAAAAACAAAAAATACTGGCTTCAAGGGTCTTCCAGGAGACTGAGTGTAGGCAAAAGTTCCCAGAGGGCAGTGGGTGGACCCACACAGTGGGTCCTCTGCCAGCACAAGCCCAGCAAGCACTCTCAAGCATCTCCTAATGGAAAAGTTAAAGTTTTGTTTTGAAACAACTTAACATCTGTGAGTTTATTTTGCAACTAAACTTTATAAACTCAAAATATTGTTTAAATATTTCTGGTGAAAACCCACACAAATAGAGACATGCTCTAATGCTAAATACATTCCAAATTTTGAAGACTACACACAAATACTGCAAAACACCTAGTAAACAATGTTTGAAGTAGATACATGTTAAAATAATAATTTGACATTGTGGAGAAAGTCAAATGTTATTGAAATTAAATTCACCTATTTTTGTCTTGCTCTTTTATGTATGAGAAAATTTTAAGTTACACATGTGACTCAAATTGTACATTGATTGTAAAGGCATATTCTAAATTCTAAACTTTGCTGCACAAATTTCTCCTTACAGTAAAAATTCATTTTTTTTTGTACACAGAACTAGCAATGTTATCTTTTAAAATGGCTAAAGGTATTAAAAGAAAGACTATATTCCATAATTTTGAAAGCTAAACCTCGAGGTTTTTTTTTTTTTTTTTTTGGTTTTTCGAGACAGGGTTTCTCTGTGTAGTTTTGCACCTTTCCTGGAAC